ATCTCATCTTTTTAAGTTAAGTATAAATATAATGAGAGGGGGGCGGCTAGGGTTAATTTTTCACAATCCTGGTTGACTTCCTACTCTCTTCTTCTTCTCCTTTCTTCTCTACTGCTGAAATCTTCATCTTCCCCCTCTTTCCTTCACAAGAAACTCGACTAAATCTGCAATTAGTGATCTCTACTCTATTGACGGGTATTAGCTTTTAAGAATCTTGATACCTAGATGAACTTTTTTCCTCTTTTGAGGTGGGGACATAATCTAAGTTGTAACTTGCAGCATAAACAAAAATTTGATGAGACACAACCACAAGCAAGATGAACTTTCTTTAAGTTCATAGGATTGACAAGCTCAGAAGCAAGCTTTTCTAATTCGGTTTTAATTTTAATTTAAACTTCAGTCCTTGAGAAAATGAAATTAATAGTTGGAGATCTTTTCGTTTTGATTGACAACAAATTTGTTGGCAAACTTCACTGATCCATTTGTGGGATGCCTTTATAAAATTGTTTTGAAGATGCTTTATCTTTGTTTTCAAGAAGTTCTCCCTTCTATAGTCTCTCTAGGGATGTCAATGGGTCGGGTTAAATGGTAAAGTTGACTTGACCTGACCCTTTGGTTAGTGCTTTGATTCTTCAACCTGAGTTGGGTTCAAGATTTGCTGATCCACCCTGTTGGGTCATTATACACTTGCATATATAGAGGGTATTCTTCCCTTTCCCCGGTTCCCAAAGAATCCCTCATTAGCTTCTCGATTCTTTTCACAATTGTCTTGAGGCATCCTAAAAACTGGCATGGAACAAACTGGGAGGTTAGCTAGAGTATATTTAATCAAGGTTAATCTCCCCCCAACCCCCCCCCCCAAAAAAAAAAAAGAAATATAGTTCCTTTTTCACCTAGCAAGCCTTTTCTTAATCCTTTCCACCATCGGATTCCAAAAACTAACCGACCTAAGGTTGTCACCTAAAGGTAACCCTAAACATCTTAACAGCCACTCCCCACTCTCACATCCCAATGACTTTGCCATAGCCCTCAAATCCTCTTCTTCTAAATTAACACGTGCCACCAGACATTTATCCAATTTACACTCAAGTTAGATTGCTAGACACCTTGAACAGACTGACCACCAACTTCAAATTTTCAACCCCAACCCTATTCTCCCCATCACAAAAGATCAAGATATCACCTGCAAATTGAAGGTGAGTAACCATTGCCCTATCTCTCTCCCTATCAACCACCCTCTGAAGAACTGCATGCAATTATCTCTTGATATTAGCTTATTGAGGACCTCATCCACCAATGTGAAAAAAAAAGGTGAAAGTGGATCACCTTGTCTTAGGCCTCTAATCCCCTCAAAAAAATCAACCACCAATCCATTAACAATTATTGAGAAATGACTTGTTTGCAAACAACCTCTGATCCACTTACACCACAACTTCCCAAATCCACAACTCCTCAATATGTTAATTAGAAACTCCCAATCCACTAAGTCATAAGCTTTCTCTCGGTCCAATCTCATTGTTACTCCTTTTTTCCTTAATCTTTTTTGGGCCTCTACACATTCATTTGCAACTAAGATCTTGTCAATAGTTTGCTTATCTTGAATATAAAGACAGCTTGAAACTAGCAAATTAATGAGGGAAGCACCTTTTTGATTTTGATCCTCAGAGATAACACCTTAGCAATCAATTTGTAAATGCTTGTTACTAAACTAATTGGTCTAAAGTCTCTCGGGTGGTAAGCATCATTCTTCTTTGGCTCCAAGGCTATGAAGGTTAAATTCATTCACGGACTAATTATACCCCTTCTATGAAACTCCCTAAACACTTCAACAAATTCAACCTGATTATATCCCAGCAATCCTTATAAAAGGTCATTGTGTATCCATTAGGTCCCGGAGCCTTAGATCTATCCAATGCAAACATTGCTTCCCTAATTTCTTCCTCCTCAAACCTACTTTCCAGAAATTTCACTTGATGAGCTCCTAACACATCCTAGTCAAGTCCTTCCACTAACCATCTTTCTTTGGGTGCCCTTCTATAATTTGATTTGAAGTGATCCCACGGACCTTGGCTATCTTTGTTTGATTTGTAATTTTTGTTCCTCCCACCTCTAAAGAGGAAATTAAGCTCTTTCGTCTTTTGCCATTGGCAACAACATAAAAGAATCTAATATTACCATCACCCTCCATGATCCACTTCTCTCCAGATTCCTGCTTCCAATTGATTTCCTCCCTTAGTAGAGTTTCCTCTAATTCCTTCAAATTCCATCTCAAATCTCTGTCTCCATCTCCTTAGGACCCTTCCTCTTCCTTCCTATCAATTTCCTCTATTTGTGAAATTAAATGGCCTTCTCCTCCAATCTCCCAAACTTCACTCTATTCCATTCTTTTATTTTCTACCTTCAACATTTGTAGTTTCTTCAAGAATCTTTGGCCTTCCCACTTCAGAGATTTAAGATGCATATCCTACCATTCTTCCAACTTTTCCTTAAAGTCCAAATGAGTAAGCCACATGTTTTCAAATCTAAAGGGGGTAGGGCCTCCTATAGTACTCTATTGAAAAAGGTAAATGGGCCAATGATCATAAGTAATCCTAAGCACATTACTCCCCACAAGGTCTCTCCAATTATCTTCCCAATCCAGGACACCAAAAACCTGTCTACCTTAGAACAAATAGGATTTGCATATCTAGGCCTTTCAATATTTGGTATTCACTCTAGCTAGTTCCTCTTGGAGATCGTCGATGTTAAGGATGGCTTCTCTTTCCTCAAACAACAAAAGAACCGCCTTCTCTTTGGTGGGAAAAGCCTTCATAACATCGTCCAGCACCCCCTTCTAATCCTCCACTTTCCTTTCCACTCTCACAACCTTTCTTTTTTGTCAATCCTCCAAATTACCTTCCACCATTAACTTTGAGAACATAGCAGCTCTAGACATCCCCCTAACCGGTTGCATTTTCTCAGCCTCTTCCTATAAAGTCACTTCTTGTTTAGCTTTTGAGTCTTCAATTGAGGTTGCCAAAGACTTAATCATATTCTCTACAAGCCACCTCCTCTGTGCAAACTTGTCCAGAGCTTCCGCAACCATCCTTCCAACCCCGTTTCCTTTCCTGGGAAGCACACCAGCTGTCACCCACCGTTCCCAAAGTTTTAACTTAACTCAATGAAATACCCCTTACTATTACTCTTTATCTCCACTAAGAATTCCTTCCCTTCAGAGCTCAACTAATATGGTTTCATCAATTAATACTATGTCATCAGCAAACATCAAGCACCATAGAGCCTCATTTTGAACATGTTTAGTTAATCTGTCTAAATTGTGCAAATAAATAAGGAGTTAAGGACTAAGTTTTGAACTTGGTGAAGACCCATTTTATCTGTAAAATCTGATGTCTCTTCCACAAGTGTTCTACCATTGGCTTTTGCACTCTTATACATATCCTTAATTAGGTCCACATACCTATTTGGGACTCCTTTGTTAATATCCAGAATCAAAACAAATATTATCTATTGGATTCATATCAGACTCAGATTGGATTCAGAGAATGCATGCCATCAATCAATTAAAGTAACAAATGATAAGAATATTTTATATTATTAATAAAATGACCTAGAAATAACTCTATTACATAGTTGTCAAGGCAACAAGGCGCCCTTTGAGGCTTGCCTCGCCTAATCGCCAAGCAGTTTTGTACTATGTATTGTAAAATAATTTTTTATTCTTTATTTTTTGACATTATAATTATAAAATAGGCATTATTAAACTAAAATATTCATTTTGTGTGTTTATATACTAATTTGTTTTTATTTGTTAGGATTTAATCAATACAAACATTGCTAAATGCTGTATTGAACCCTCAAAGACTTTAAAACGTGAACCAATAAGTAAGGAAGAACTTAAAATTTTGTCTAATCAACACATTTTCTATACTTTTCTTATGAAAATTATAAATAATTATGAAGGAAATATGGCTATGGTACCTAGGGAACTACCCTAGGATCTATGTTTTCTATATAAAAAATCCATTGCCTAGGTGACTAGGCAACAAGGCGCTCCCCCCCCCTAACGCCCAGCCTCGCCTTGGCGCCTTGAAAACTATGCTCTATTATTATATATCATAAATAAGTTGGCTTAAAATTATGAAACTCAAATCTATGTCTCTTTAGTAAAAATACAACATTCAAACCAACTTCACTAATAAATATAGATTGGTTTTGTATTGTTGGGTTTGGATCAAATTGGATCGGATTGGGGTGGATCCAAATTGGATCTAATTATAAAGATATCAAGTTTGAGTCACCCTAATTAGATTGGATTTTGAATTCATCATTATCATCATCATCCAAGCCTTATCCCAACTATAGGGGTTGGCTACACAAATCCTGTTTTGCCATTCTGTTCTGTTTAATGCCACATTGGTTGTTGAAGTCAAATTTGGATAAAATGACAAATGGATACTGTTTGCAGCTCTAGTAATTTGTTCAACCAATATCACCAGAGTAAATAAAATTGATTCCAGAACTGAAGTGATGCAAGATATAGGACAATGAGATAGAAGATAAAAAATAAAGAATAATAACTAAAAACCCAAAAAACAGAGGTTTAAAGCCTTTCAAAATCATACCTGTGGATCAACAATCCAACCATGATATAATGGAATGTCAAGGAGATCAAATATGGCACACTCTCTCGTAAACTCAAAATCACCAACTCTACAAATATTGGATGTGTATTTTTGTTATAACAAAGGCAAAATGGAAGAAGATACTGGGATCACTGAAAAGGCAATACGGCATGGAGGATGAAAGGGATAAATAAAAGGAAATGGATGGCCTACCTCCTGAACTGAATATTGACATCAATTCCAGTGGCAAGTCGTGGAAGCAGGTCAATTGCATCAGCTATGTTCTGTTGCTGATTTTCAACATACCCAGCATCCTTGTTCTGCATCAGAAGTCAACATTAATAACGATTTTTACCGATCTAAAGTCTGCTGCAAGATCAATAGTGAACGAGGTGCCTCTTACTTACCTCCACGTTACTGTTAGAATCGATTAATCTCTCCGCAACAAGAGAAAGCAATTTCTGTAGAGACACTTCAGATGTATCGACGCTCAAATTCAAGTTGTTTTTCAAAAGAAGAACATTACCTATTATACAGAACGGTTTCTCATTAAAAACAGGAGACAATTCTGAAAAACAGACGAAAACGAATTGATGAAATAAATAAAATATCATTCTGTTAGAATCAAATCATCTAGTCCAGAAAAAAAAAAAAAAAAAAGCATCGGCGTCAATAACGCCAATCCTTGAAATAAAAATGGAAAAGCAAAGTAACGTAATCACTATCAATTCCACAATCGTTTTCTTGAATTTAGTCTCAATTTCGGAATTACCAGAGACAAAGTCGAGAAACAAACGTAGAAGTGAAAGACTTTATACATGTTTCCGGAACAAAGGAACTCGAGAATCGACAGAAGCGGAGACAATAAATGAAAGCCCTAAAGATCAGATAGAAAGGCAATAAAAATGAAAGCAGAGATGAGGCTTTACAGATAGCGAGGAGAGGGCAAGGTCCATTATCGTTCTGGAGAATTATCGGTGTAGTGCGTCCCAGGAACTGTACGACCTTTGTCTTGTAAAGGCATTCTTGCTCTGGTTCCTGCCCTCGCTCCTCGCTAGCCATGGCCGACCTCCAAACGCGATGGACAACGAAGACTGCAGTTTTGTTAATTTGCACTAATTAGCCGGAGACCGGGAGAGAGAAAATGGGAGGGAGAAGGAATTTAAAGAACAAAAAGGAAAGAACCGACGAACAGAGCGAGTCAGCGTTGGATTGAAATGATGGTTTTAACAGCAGTGAGCAGGCTCTTTTTCCTTTTTTATATTTTTATATTTATTTTATTTTATCTATTTACCATTTTTCATTTATGCGCGATTTAAAGCAAAATGGAAACGCAAACGCAAACGCTAGCGTCAAAACGCCACGGTGTCGAGCTCAGATCTGCTACCAACAAAACGAAACGAATTGGTTGGGATCTGCTCACAACTAAACTGTAATCTGTATAGACTTATTATAGATTTTTTAAAGAAAAGTAAGTTTTTATTTTTCTTTTGGGAAGTTGGAGGACCCATTTTATTACATTTTTTAACCCTTTATCCACTTACATGCTCTTCGGTACTGTTTATATCTCGTGGATGGACCAATTTGGTCCACGCCACAAGATGAAAATAGCATTCGGTTCATTGTGGACAGGACCGGTCCATATTATCTCGTGGACCAGTCCTATCCACACCCTAATTTCTCGGCAATGGCTTCTTCTCGTGGATGGATTTCTTCCACGGGTTGCATTTGATAATGTGTTTCATGCACAGTGTTTATAACCCTACATCTTGTTCAAGGTCTCCTCTGCCAAACCTCTATTGCTGTGCTTTTGCTGCTATGCTCCACCGACATTGTCCAAGTTCTTCACCAAAGGTAAGACCCTTGTTGCATCCTTTTTTGATCTTTAACAACATCCTCTCTTTTTTTCTCTTCACCAAACCTCTGCATTGCTTTCCTGTTTTTCTTATTGGTTTTTTTGTTGATTTTTTTGTTTCTTTCTGGGTATTGTGTTGGTGGGTTAGTGGTCACAATCTCCAACTCTGAGCTTGAGCATGTGTGTTCTTTAGTTTTGGTTTGTCCACAAATCCAACCATAAGGTCCATAACCATCAGTAAGAGTGGCTATCAATCCAACCATAGGTCTAAGTCATGGATTGGTAGTTATAGTGCAGCAGTGACAGCCCAAGGCTATTTTCTTATTGATGCTCAAAAGAAGATAGTCTCTGATTTCAGTCCTTCTTGATCACTGATTTGGAAGATGGCCCAATCTGGCAGGTGATGGACTGGGGGGTTTATAAAATTAGAATGCAACAATCAACATTTGCAACCTTTTTCTCTCATTTCTCTCTTTTATTCTTCTCCTATTATCTTGATCATCTTTTCTTCCATTATTTAACTCTATTACAAATTTTAAATTTCTTTTTATTCTATGACAAACAAGTAGAAAGTACTTAAAACCAAATTATACCTATGAATTTGCACAAAACTCCACTGATCACATTTTCTTGTGATTCAACAGTCCTTGGATTTCTGCCCAACTTTCTTAGTTGGGTCACCAATAGGATGATACTCCCTATTAACCTCCACCACCTGCTTTGCAGATGAGAGCAGAGCTGATATTCGAATATGAAAGTTACTATTTTCAGGTCCATAAAACTTATTAGTTTGCATAAATTGTGCTTATCTTGCAAAATATTTCTCTTATCAATTGTTTAAATATTATTTTTAATATTTTTGTCAATTAAATATTAATTGTCTTACTTAATTCTTTAATTTTTATATTTTTAATGTTTTTATTAATGAAATAATATTTTTTAAATATTTAATATATATTATATATTTTTAATTATTTTACTATTGTTTTATAAAAAAAATGATATTTTTTTATTAATATTAATTCATTGATGCATTTTTTTAAATATTTATCATACAAAATGCAAAAATTACATATTTATGATTAACTGTGTATATCATTCATTCCATGTACACGAGATACACAAAATCAAAAAAGTGTGGTGTGGACTAATCCACACCCACCAATTCTCATCCATGCTACATAACACCCCCTTAATAACCATATAAAATCTAGATCACTTACAATCCAATACCATACCAACATCATCTGGCATTGCACATCTCATGCATGGCAAGTCCTACTTTTATTATAGGCCCTAGTTTTATTGTAAGAGTTCAAATCAACCCCCCACAATGTCCCACACCACATTCTTGTCGTGTATTTGGAACATCTCCCAATGATAATATCATAAATGATGATGTCATCATGGAGATGTTCCCAATACAAGGCGGGGATGTGGTGTGGGACGTTGTGGAGGACAGTCTCGTGGGGGGGGGGGGAGCTGATTTGGTCTCTTATTGTAAGATGTGTAGTGTCAGATCAAATAATTGGTAGGGTATTGGAAGTGAGATCACATCCCCGCCATGTATTAGGATATTCACAATACACAGCATGAATGTGCTGTGGGGCGGCTCCAGGTGAACTCATTGGGACTTGTTTTATTAGTAGGTGATCCCAACTCTATAAATAATGGTTTAAATAAAAAGTTTGGCGGGGAGGGGGAAACCCTACCAATATACTACGCTCCATCCATGATTGCCGGGTTAGGATATCTTCTCATGAATGATAAGGGAGGTATTATCATTAAGGATCAAAATTTTGATACAATATACCTCATATTGAGCATATTGTATCATATCTTTTGGATTCTAAAACACCGGTTTATAAATGTTTTGAGACCCCTTTTATTAATAATATATATATATATATATATAAATTATCTAAAAACCATTTTTTGAAAAAAAGTAAAAAAATATATAAAAACACACTATTTTTAATACACACGGGTCAACTGTGTGTTTTGTTGGTAGCAAATCCCTGACCGGATGCGTCAACATGCAGATGTAAAATCCAACGTGTGTTGAAAAACAGGATCCCACTTGAGTATCTCGTATATCTGGGTCTGGGTCCCCGTTCAGTCCAAGATGATATTGATCATTGATCATTGGACATTCGTGAATGATACGGTCGGTTCACTGTCTTATTTGGACGGTTGAAAAACACCCACTAATGCTCCAATAGAATTTCAATGATCAGATGGTCAAAACTCAAAATTATTTATAGTAAACGGGGCCCACGCATTGCACTCATTCTCCATTCGAAACCTACGTTATCCTGTTTGATACTTCAGATTTTTCAGATTTCAGAAATTGTCTGTTATATTACCAGAGAAGCAGAAAGTTAGTTAGAGGCTTGACAAGTATCTGGGTTTTGGAAATGAAAACATATTCATTTGGGGCCATTTTTCTAAGAAAACATATTCAAAGAAAGGGCCATATGGGGCTAACCTACCTTAATATATGGTTCGAGCAAGTGGTTAGATGGTTGAATTGGCAATTTGCTTAATAGTTAATATTACTTTTTTACTTTATATACCATATTATTTTGTTGGGGTTTGGAACAAGGAAAAAGCGGGTCAACGGGGCAAGTGGTTAGATGATTGAGCTGGCAATTTGCATAATACTATTTTATATCATTTTTTTTTTCTTTTAGGTCTTTGTTATTTTGATGGGAATTACAGGGCATATGGGAATAGCGCATTTTTTACTTGGATAAATTTTGGGCCATTTTATCAAAACTATGTTTGGTTTGAAAGAAAATATAAGAAAAGGAAGGAAAAAGTAAAGAAACATGTACAAACCTTGTATTTATTTTCCCGTCTTTCCCTTTTTTTCCCTTTCTTAGATGTTTAAATCACTTTTTCATAAAAAGAGAAAAGTTACCCAAAATTATTGTGGGACTAAAGTGATAATACACAAAACTCAATAATAAAAACTAGTTGATGGTGGCTCAGTGGTAAGATTTCTGACTTGTCAAGGCAGAGACATTGGAAATCCCGTTGGTTTGGGGGTAAGGCCTTAAGGGAAGAGAATGTAAATATGTTTTCAACAAAAGAACAAAGCTTTAGACTCAAACAACCCCTATAATTTTATATATTTATTAAAAACTACCCTCTAATTTGTATATTATCATAACACTCCGTGATTTGCAACCACTTAATCAACCTTATGTCAAACCATTTGTATTTCCATATAGGAATGGCTAAATGACCTTATAAAAAGTGAAAAATGTTCAAAGGCATGGGTTTAGGGTTTTTTATTCCAACGATACCTCTATTAGTTCTCATATCAACCTTTAATTTTTAAAACAATCCCCTCCCCCGGGTTGTCAATCGGTTGGGTCTAGAACCAAAATTGATTTGATTAGAAATAATAAGGACCCAAAACCTAATTGATTGATTTTCACAACAACCAGATTTGACCCTATGGATCCAATTATAATAAACCTATATATATATATATTTATTTAATATATATATATATATGCGTGTATATATATATTATATATAATTCGGGTTGGGTTTGGATTAGGGGTGAGCATAATTCGGTTAAAATCGAAAAATTGAACCGAATTTTCGATTTCGGTTTAATCAATTCGGCTAATTGTTTTATCGATCGGGCTCAATTTTATTATTTGGTTATTTTGTATTTCAGATTTCAGTTTCGATTATCATAATTGATAAATCGGTTAACCAAAAAAAACCGATTTAATTAGGGGGCATTTTGCGTCATTTGAATCTGTCATTTACTCAAGGGATTCCAAGCTTCAACAACATTGTCAATCTATCATGCAATTAATGCCATTCGGCAACTTCCCCGAGAAAGTTTCTCAAAACAAAACAAACCCACCCAATGTGGGTCCAGCATTAAGTTCAAAGCTATCACCAAACCCCTCCTCAATCAGTTCGTCACTTCATCTTCTTCTCTCCTCTTGCTCCCTTCTCCCCTACAAAAGATAGGAACCAACCATCCATCTTGGAACCACTTCACGCCTCCCGATCCTTCCCTCCTAGAACTGATCTCCGGCACGTTGTAGTGTCAACCCCTTGAGGCTTCCCTGTCCTATTGAGTATCAACTGCCGAGTGCCACAGCTACCAGCCGCCACTGCGTCTTCTTTACCTTTGTCGGTTGCCGCTGCTGATTGCCGTTGAGGGCATCTTCTTCTTCTTCTCTGCTTTTATAGACTTGACTTAATTTCGGTCTTAACCAAAATATCTGAAATAACCAAAAAAATATTCGGTTTAGTTTAATCGGTTTCTATATATTTCGATTTCGGTTTCGATTTGTCATTTTATTAAATAGGTTTTAAAAACTTTGCTT